CGGCTTGTCAGGAAATTGGGGCAAAGAGCCCCCAGGCTGCTGCCTCTATCTCCAGCCTCAGTTGCTTAAAGTCAGCAGTGCCTGTTTCAGTAGTGGAATAGATGTGCATTGTTTGTGGAGTTCGTTTAGCAAATTCAACTATACTTGTTGGGCCAAAACAGAGAGAGAGAGAGTACGCAGTTTAAGCAATGAGGGTGTCTGCGCATGACTCGGAGCCAGTGCCCCAGAGGCCATTCAATGAACGTGAGAAGCTCATCTGAGCCTTCACTCATCTCTGTGTCCATGTGCATCTCTTAGGATCTTATAATGACTAGGAGCCCCGTGTTTGATTTTTTTTTTTCTTTTGGTTGCCAAAACCCAGGATCGAATCATGTTTAATATTTTCCCAATACCACCAGGTATTTACCTGGTACATAACAGAAGGTTTGGCCATCTCTAACTCAGTTTAAACACTGGAGGTAGAGCTTGGCTGCTTGGGGCTACTTCAGAGATAGCGTTCAGCCCCTGCTGGGGTGCCTTCCTAAGGTATTTTCAAGGGTTGTTTTGCTTTGGGTTTTGCCTAATGCTGACTTGAGAGCCTCAGGCCTGAACGGCTGGTCGCTCCAGTAGATCATTTTCCTTGGGGCCCAGACATGCTCTGATCACCTTCTGTTCCTGCTTCAGGTTACCCAGTTCAGATGGACTCTCTGGCCCCTGCCGCCCTCCTGCCTCCCACCCCAGCAAGTCCCGAGGTCCGTGGCCCACCTCAAACCAGGGACCGGCTGCTGGTCCCCGAGGGGCGCGGGCAGGCAGGGGGCGGGGGCATCGAGGACGCAAGCCGGACCAGGCTTTGTACGTGCCTCGGGTACTGCGCAGGCCAGAAGAATGGGCTCCAACCCCTACCCCGGGGCACAAGGTTGACGTTCCTGCTGGCAGACTCCTGGAAGAGCCTGGAGATGTTGGTGCTGGGGACCCCAGTGCCGCTCAGGAACCTCCTGTGTTGAAGACTCAGGCAACAGAGGACCTACAGGGCCCCGGCCCGCCATGCGAGAATGAGCAGCTGCAGGACCCAGGGGGAACTGAGCCCTCGGGGCCTGGGAGCCACTCAGGGACCGGAGACAGCCTGGAGAAGGCCACACAGCCTTTGTCCGGTGCGCAGCTGGACTTGGAAGAGCGGAATGGGAGTGAGCTGGAGAAGAGTGTGGCAGCAGAGGAGGAAGAGGAAGAGGTGGAAGTTGAGGGGCCTGGCAGCTTCTCCGAGGAAGATTACAGTGAGCTGCTGCAGGAGGTGATGAGCTCTTAAGCCGGGAAAAGGGAGGGCGGAAGTGAGGTGGGTGCAGTCCTGGGTGGCTGGGACCAAGGGTCATGGAGGGGCGGGGCATGAGCTGGCTGAGAAGGGCCGTGTGTTGGGTGATAGGGGTCCCTGAGGGGACATGGAGGTAAAGCACGGGGCTTTGGCCCGAAGGAGTCAGGACTGACACCGTGGAGGGAGGAGGCTCATGGATATGGGGTCAGGGGTGTGGATTTGGGTCCCAGCTCAACCACATAGGAGCTATTTGACTACGGGCAAGTCCTTTTGCTTTTCTGAGTCTCGGTTTCCTCATCTGAAAAGCAGGTGATACTACATCCTTCACAAGGTAGCAGATAGGATGTATGTGGGCTTGCTTTGTAAGGAACTGCAGATGTTGGTCATGAATTTTTTTCTTCCGCCTGAAGCTTTGTCTTACAAATCTTGTTTGCTTGGAACAGAGTCTCCCTGAGACTGGCTGTGGTGTTCAGATGGGAGGGCAGGTGTGTTTTATTGCTATTTTATAGGTGAAGGATGGAGACCAGAAAGACTTGCCTAATATCACGTCATTCAGGAGGGAAGGAAAGATCCTGGACTTGCCCAGCTCTGTCTCCAAAGATGCAAAGATGTCTGCATCTTTGGGCAGAATTACTTAATTCCTTGACTTACAGTGTCCCCCTCTGTGAAGCAGATACATAGAATAGAGCTTTCAGGATTCCATGAAACAGAATGTGTGGGTGCCAGTCACCCAGTGGGGACTCCATTAAAGCAAGTTCCCTCACCCACTACCAGCCCTTCTCCATCTTCCACTCCTGTGTGCTGCCTTTCCTAGGCTCCTGCCATGTGTGCCTCCCATGGGAACCCACCCTTAACTCTCCCCCCTGCCCACCCAGAAGCCTGCGGGACTCTGTGGGTTTGCAAGCAGTTGTGTGGAGCTCTGTGCCAGAGCTCGCCTGGCTAAACGGCCTGATCTCCCCCAGATAACGGACAACCTGACCCAGAAGGAGATTGAGGTGGAGAAGATCCATGTGGACACATCCTCCTTCGCAGAGGAGCTGCCGGGAGAGCAGGACTTTGCCCACGTGGTGGAGATCTACGACTTTGACTCGAAACTCAAGACGGAGGACCTGCTGGCAGCATTTTCCGAGTTCCAGTGAGTACAGGCCAGGGTTCGGGGAGGCAGAGGAGGCGGGGTGCTCCCTCTAGAGAGGACCTAGGACACGCCTTTGTTGTTGGGCCCCTCTCCCGGTGCCCAGCCATCTAGAAAGAAAGGCAGAAAGTAGATGCCAGTGCTGTGGGCTCCATACTTCTGGGCAGTTCAGCCTACTGGCAGTGCGGGGGAAGAGGAGAGCGGTTTTTGGTTGTAGGCGTGTTCCAGAGGCCCTAGAGCTGGTCCTACTGGCACATGCAGCACCCTTGCAGGCCCACATGCCTGCCAGCCCCAGTGGGGCCCTCCTCCCCATGCAGGACGCAGGCAGCCCACCCCCCACCTCCTTGTTCCACATCCCAGCTACCCAGTCAGTCCGTCAACAGAATGAGGGCCATCTCCGTGCAGGAACTGAGTCGGGAAGAATCGGGTGGAAATGGGAGCTGAAGTGATATACCCAGAGAAAAGACTTCTCCTGTTCCCCCAAATTCCTTAACTCCAACTCCAGTCTTTTCTTCTTTTTTTTTAATGCTCATTTTCCTTTCTCCAGTCCCCCTTCTCTTTTCCTACGTATGCTTTTAAAAATCCCTTTCCTGCCCTAGCCGATATGGCTCAGTGGATAGAGCATAGGCCCCCAAACTAAAGGGTCCTGGGTTCAATTCCAGTGAAGGACACGTACCTCGGTTGCAGGCTCCATCCCCAGCCCTGTTCAGAGTGCGTGCGGGAGGCAACCAATCGATGTGATTCTCACATGGGTGTTTCTCTCTCTGTCTCTTCCTTTCCCTTCCACTCTCTAAAAGTCAATGGAACCCTAGTCGGTTTTGCTCAATGGATAGAGCAGGTTTGGCTCAGTGGCTAGAGCGTCAGCCTGCGGACCAAAGGGTCCCAGGTTCAATTCCGGTTAAGAGCACAAACCTTGGTTGTAGGCTCCTCCCCGGCCTGGAGGCAACCAATCAATGTGTTTCTCTCACATCACTGTTTCTCTCTGTCTTTCCCTCTTATACTCTCCTTAAAAATCAGTGGAAAAATATCCTCGGGTGAGGATTAACAAAAGGAAATAAAATCAATGGAAAAAATATTCTCAGGTGAGAATTAACAAAAATAAGTAAATGAATAAATAAAAATCCCTTTTTCCACGTGGCCAACCCGGGGCACCTGTGACTTCTTCTTCAGCCAGCGTAGCCTTGGCCCACAGAGGAGCGGGGTGGGGAGCTGCTGTGTGACCTCAGACTCGGGGCTGCTGGCCTGAGCACCGGGAGGAAAGTTGATGGGGCTCAGGTGAGAATTAACAAAAATAAGTAAATGAATAAACAAAAATCCCTTTTCCCACGTGGCCAACCCGGGGCACCTGTGACTTCTTCAGCCAGCGTAGCCTCGGCCCACAGAGAAGCGGGGTGGGGAGCTGCTGTGTGACCTCAGACTCGGGGCTGCTGGCCTGAGCACCGGGAGGAAAGTTGATGGGGAGCAGTAACACACACATGCGGATTTTAGGTCCTGTCCCTTGTCCCTGCCACACAACCCTTTTGTCTCCAGCCTCAGACCCCACGCCCTTAGGGGCTGTGCCAGCGCCAGTAGGAGCCTCCATCCCCCTGGGTGTTTCGTCTTTGAGTTCTCAGTCCTGGCTTCGCCAGACCCAGGAGTAGGGACCCACCCGACCCCCACCCGACCCACGGGTGGTTGGTCTTGCTGAAGCCAACCACATGGTCTTCCGAGAAGGTCTGTTGCGAATGATTGTCTCCTTCCTCGAGGAGATGGAACTTGTCTTGGGCTCATAGTGTTTGTGGATTGGAGGTGGGAGGGAACTTCCTTTAGCAGAAAGGGTTTTGCCCGTTTGCTTTCATAATCTCTCTGCCGTCCTGTCCCTTGTCCCTGCCACACAACCCTTTTGTCTCCAGCCTCAGACCCCACGCCCTTAGGGGCTGTGCCAGCGCCAGTAGGAGCCTCCATCCCCCTGGGTGTTTCGTCTTTGAGTTCTCTCAGTCCTGGCTTCGCCAGACCCAGGAGTAGGGACCCACCCGATCCACGGGTGGTTTGTCTTGCTGAAGCCAACCACATGGTCTTCCGAGAAGGTCTGTTGCGAATGATTGTCTCCTTCCTCGAGGAGATGGAACTTGTCTTGGACTCACAGTGTTTGTGGATTGGAGGTGGGAGGGGACTTCCTGTAGCAGAAAGGGTTTTGCCTGTTTGCTTTCATAATCTCTCTGCTTCCTCTTCCCCGTCTCAGAGAGAAGGAGTTGAAGATTCAGTGGGTGGACGACACGCATGCGCTCGGCGTCTTTCCCTGCCTGTCCTCAGGTAGGCGGCTTCACGTGGGCTCAGCCCTTTCTCTGTCACTGACAAGGGACAGGACCTGGTGTAGACCGCCCGGGTCCAGGTTGCAGCCCACTCCCAGCCCTGATGCAGGAGCCCAGGGAGCAGGGTGGGCTCGGCCAGGCAGTCACAGCCTTTCCTATTCACGTTAGTGCCCTCCGTCCAGAGGCTTCCGGTGCAGGTGACACTGAGCACATGTCACAGGCCAAGCCCTAGGTGCTTCCACGTGTTGAAAGTGCTGTTTTTTTAGGTCTAAAGCAGTGCAGGGCGGAGGGTGGACGCTGGGCTCGCAGGTTTTCCCGCTGAGCACCGGGCGGGGCCATGCAGGCATGTGGGGAGGGGGTGGGTGGGCAGCTGGCACAGTTGCCTCCAGGCAGCCCTGTCCCTGGGCTTTGAATGGGCGCATGAAGTGGCTGCATTGGTTTTGGGTGGTATGTGTGCTCCTGGGCCCTGAGGGGGCCTTTCCAGGAAGAGGAGAGGTTGGCTCCAGATGTTTTCTTTCCACAGCTGCTGAAGCCCTGACCAGGGAGTTCTCCGGGCTCAAGATCCGGCCCCTCACGCAGGGAAGCAAGCAGTCGAAGCTGAAAGCCTTGCAGAGGCCAAGTAAGGGAGCGGCTGTCCCGCGGGGCAGGCCGTGTGCGTCGGTCAGTCCCCCTTGTTCAGCTCTCTGCCTGAGGACCCCTGAGCTCAATGGCCAGTGGGGTGCTCCTCCCACACCCGGGTGCCGGGGACGCCCAGCAGGCGTCTGCCAGCTGCCCTGTTCGGGGCTTGCCCTCCCGCTCACACCTGCTCAGGGAGAAGCTGGGTCTTTTCCGCAAGTCCGTGGGAACCATGTTGAGCAGTGGGGTAAAAGAGTCCGCCCTGCGTGTGATCCTGGCTTTGTCACTTATTTAAGTTGACCTTGAGTGAGCCACCTAATGTCTGTGAGTTGGTTTCTTTCTCTGTACAATAAGCAGATCATACAGAGTATGCTGGCGGCGTAGATACAAGAGCCTGGCAGACCACCGGGAGAGGAGAGGCACACAAAATGTGCCAAATAAGTGACGGCTCGTCCCTGGCCCCTTCTCCTTCCAGAAAGCATGATGGGGACTTGTAGAGGCCAGCGACACTGGCCCAGAAGAGGCCTGCCGACGCCCTCCACACTCTGTGGATCGTGTGGCCTGTGCCCCGTGTTTCTTGGGGACAGTAAATACCCTGTCTGTCCAAGAGCTCTCGGTGTCCCACCCTGACGTGATTTCCCTCCCACAGGGCCCTACAGAGCAGGGAGGTGTACTGTGGAGGTGGAGAAACGGGCAGGGCACAGAGAGGTGGCAGGATTAGGTCAGGACCCGGCAGCCCGAGGCGGGCTCCTCTCACTGCATCTGGCCAGGCTGCGGGCACACGGGTCCTAGAGGTTGGCTCCGATGGCCTCTGAGGCTGCTGTCACTGGGAAGGGAGGTGGTCATGGTCTTGAATTTGAGTCCCCGCCCCACGGGGTTTCCTTTCAGAGCTCCTGCGTCTGGCGAAGGAGAGACCACAGACAAGTACAGCCGTGGCCCGGAGGCTGGTGGCCCGGGCCCTGGGGCTTCAACACAACAAGAAAGAGCGGCCTGCTGTTGAGTCTCCTACCTCCCCGAGGCCCTGAGAGGCCCGGCCAGCCTGAATCAACACCCCGTGACAAGCTGGTACCTCAACACCACAAGCCTTTTCATATCAGCCCTGTCCTCCCGTTGGAGCGTCACTGTGGGGCGTGGTGGGCTTCAATTTGGTCTACTTCCAGAAGTTGAGAAAAAATAAACACTTAAAGTTGTCATAATCTGCCCTGGCTGGTGTTGCTCAATGGTTAGATCGTCAGCCTGCATGTTAAAGTTGTCATAATCTGCCCTGGCTGGTGTTGCTCAGTGGTTAGATCGTCAGCCTGCATGCCGAAGGGTCATGGGTTTGATTCCCCGACAAGGGCACCTACCTGGGTTGCAGGTTCCATCCCTGGCCTGGCCGGGGAGCATGTGGGAGGCAACCAATTGATGTGTGTCTCTTTCCCCCTCCCTCCCTTCCTTCCTTACACTCTCTCCATGGAAAAAATACCCTCAGGGTGAGAATTAAGAACAAAAATTCCGTGATTGCTTCAAAATATGGTCTGCCGTGGGACACTAGAGGGTGCTGTTTGCCTCCCATTTTAGACCTGGGGACACTGAAGAAACTGGTCACCCACAAGACTGCCTGGAGGGATTCCGCTGGGCCCGGAGGCATTTTTGCGAAGAACCTGCCCAGCTTGGGGAGGAGGTTGCACCAGTTCTGTGACACCTGTGCGGTTTCCCCTCATGAGCTGGGTGTCCTAACCTGCTTTGGGGAGTGCAGAGTGGCTGTGGCTATGGCAGTGCTGATGGCCCACCCTGGACCGGCCCCAATGTCCCCTGTCAGTACAGCTACAAAAGGGCTCCATGCAGAAATAAACACGAACAAGGCCAGGTGGTGAAATCTGAAGTGGCCACCGAGTTTGCCTCCCCCACAAGAGCAGATGCAAGGACAGGCCCCGGAGCACTCAGTTTTCTGGTTTGGACGGAGCCCGTGTGGAGGCTAGATGTCCCTTCTGGGCCTAACAACTGCTGTGCCCCCGACAAAAACCAGCAAAAAGCAAGAGCTCAGGAGAGGTGGTGACTTGTATTTTTGTGACCTTAGGTAGCTCTCAAGGGACAGGTGTTGCTCCTTTGGGGGTGTATGGAGGGGACCCCCTGCAGCCACACCAGACCCCAGCTCTCTGCGGGAGTGGACCCGAGTGTCCGAGGCTCCCGGCCGACTAGACAGGAGCTCTGCTGCTCAGGGGCGGGGCCGCGGTCCAAATGAAACACAGACGCACGTCGTAAATGTTTTATTCCAAGTTTCAAGTATGTGTAAGTGTCCGTGATGACACGGTGTTCAGTGAGTGTCCTCATCACCCGGGACCCTGGTTATAGCACCGTTAGCAGTTACCCACCGCCTCGCAACGACAGAAACGGGAGCCACACAGGTGGGCGGGTTTTCCTTTGAGCTGTATTTTCAAAGGCCTAGATCGCCAATATTAAATACCACTACTTTGTGTTTCAAAGTCCATGAAAATATAATATAATAATGTCTTGAAAATAGGACGCAGGGGCTGCGGGGAGAAGCACCAACTCTGAGCTCACCTCTCAGAAAACATGTGGCAGCTTATTTTATACGTGGGAAGGACGGAGGGGAGGAGAGGCAGTGTAGCTGGAAGAGAGCTCTACACATTCAAGTTGGCTGGAAACCACCTAAGAGGAGGAGAAGCGAGTCAGCCTGACCCCTCAGGTTTAAGCTGGCATCGCCAAAGTGGCACCTGAGGAGAAATGGCCCCATGTTATCAGTGGTCAGCAGAGCAGGGTGGTTGGTGTCAGGCTTGGGGGCTGTGGTTTGGATGGGACACGTTGATGACAACCAGGGGTCCCGGACAGGATGGCTGGTGCGCTGCTCCCACGGCCTGCGGACACTCACTCCTGGGGGCCGCCGGGCTCTGCAGCAGCCCCCGCAAGTCAGGAGCACCCCTT